CCCCCGCCGCCACAACCCCAAACACATCTGGGAAAGCTGAAGGAATTCCTGGCACAGAATGGGGGATTGCTTCATTCCACCTCCTTGTGCAAACCAAGTTCCAAGACTAAGATCCTCTGCCATAGTTCATGGGCCGTCAGACAAGAAGTTAACTTAACCTCCCTGGGGTAGATGCAACCGTGACTTTATCGTTTTTATGTTCAAATGAAACAGTGTTTTTCTAACTGGGAACAGGACACAGATTCGTGGGCTCCACAGAAACCCCAGGAACGAAATTATGAGCTTTCTACCTTCCCACTAATTATCACTGCAGGTCCAAAACTGGCTAAATGTTTAGTTTCGAAAATCCACTAAGACCCTGCAACCCTTACAGGATAAGCCGATGGATGATGGATGGATGGACAAATGGATGCATGATCCTTCTTTTTTTTTTTTTTTTAAAGATGGGACACGTCAAGACCTATTAAACTCGTCGTGCTTCCCCCTCCCAATCGAAACATGCAGGTGCTTCTGTGTTATGACTGAAAGCACAGATAAGGACTCTGCTCGGGTAGATCTGATTTCAGGACGAACTTTAAAAGTAATCTTCTCATTCGAGCGTGGAGGAGTAAAAACAACTTTTTTTTCTTTTTGGGGGGGGGGGGGGGGGGGTTCTTGTTTCAACCTGCATGTCTGCTGCACTGTTTTAATCACCGGGTTTGTCGAAGTTTTGGAGGGAAAGTATATATGGGTCTAGTTCCAAAACATTCCCCCTGCTCACTTCTGACCCCCTCGAAAGACAGTAATTCTTCAAGCCGCTACTCCACTCGCAATACAAAATGGCCTTGTCACCAGTGGAAAATTCCCATTTGGCATCCCAGAGAACTGCTCAGACAGTGGCATTAGCTCACCGGCCTGGTGGGAACACGTTTCGCAAGATCTCTCTGTGAATGTACTCTCCCCTGATTGGCTGTGGTTACAAATGGACGTCATAGGCTCCAAGCAAAAAGGGGGTGGCGCCTATGAGTTGATGCTCTGAGCAGAAGAGGCGGAGCCTCGGTGGCTGTAATGCTCTGTGAGCGGGTCTTGAGTTGCCGCCTACATTGGCCAACTATTTCCTTCCTCTTACTCATTCATTAAGTGGCCCTGCTGCCTCCTGAAGTCGCTGCCCGCTGTCTGACGACTGGCGTTGGGCGTGATGAAGTGAAACATCTGGCCGGGCTCCGTTACACACAGGAGACGAGACCTGACCGCAAACAGGCTGCCAGGAACCAACTCAGGACAAAGGTTCGCTTCAGTAAGCTTCTGTGATGAAACTGCGGAATAAAACATTAACCTGGACCCAGTGGGTAATTTGCACAGGATTCCTCCAAATGCGGCTTTTGAGAAAATGATACATTGCCAAAAATCGGGGGCTGACACAAGATCAAAGAAACAAAGATTTCTAATACACCAACATTAATATTTCTGACTAATGTCAGTCCTTTCTTCAATGTTGAAAAACACAAAACAGCTTGATCAAAGAAAATCAAAGAGTATCCATTGCATGCAACACAGAAATTAAAATACTAAATCAAAAGTGGATAAGTGTTATTGTTTCAGTTTAAATAGGTATAACCAATCATCCAGTGTTTCTCTGGGACAACACTATATTAAAGTCGATTTAATTTAGCAAATCCCATTTTCTGAGATGATTCTTAACAGTCGTTAACGATTAAAAGCACTCGGTAGCCAGATACCTGGGGGTAAACGGTCTGAGTAACAAAGAGCGTGATGTGCACTCCTCCAGGCTAAGATCAAGTCAATAATTCTAGTGCACTATTTCGTAGATAAGTAGCAAAATACGAGAAAAGAAGAAAACAACCTTTCAAAGGGGAGTAAAGGTTATTTAAAAGGTCGAGCATGTCGCTATTACGCACCATCCTCGCGGGCGACAGAGTAAAACATTGTGGGGTTATCTTGTTATCTCACAGCAGTACAGGGTGTCATTCAAAGAGGAAATGTGTATTTACAATGTCCTCCTGACAGCCGTACAAATGCAAATGAACAGCTCCTCCGACGCCACGGTCCCACGCAGGCCGTTCCTGTGACTCCCCCTCAGTTTACAGCATAAAATGTTGACAGACCCCAGCCTCGCGTCTCCCCTCTTTTCGACATATGGAAAAGACGGAGAAGGTCCCACAAACTCCAAATACACGCCGTTAATGTGTTGCGGGGACTCCCTTTTCACATGGATGATCCGGTACGCTAAAGCGGCCTCCTCTGATGGGATCAATCGATTTACTAAACTCACCTTTTCCCATATCATTTGAGTATATTCACATACCCTTGAACATGTTAAGCTTTAACTTTCAGCTGAACTCGACCGCTACAAAGAGAAAATGCTAATACAAGAGCACCCGCAAGCATACAGAAGATGACTACATGATGGTAAACGTCCTGGAATGCTCGTCCTTTTTATGGTGGGAAACGTCATTACATCCGCCATGAATTTTCAGCCACTGTAACACACAACACTACACTCCATTTGGGGGAAAGAAGAATGAATTTCTGTATGAATGTGAAATTTGCATCTATGCTTGATTGCATTGTGGAAAAAAGCCCCCCCCCCCATTTCCTGAACTTTGAGGGTGGCGAACAAAATATCATAACCCCTAGAGGACAAAGAAAGCATTTGTAAGACCAGATGGATCAAGTCTCTTACCCGAACCGGACTAAAATTCTCGGCGTTCAAAGTAAAAGGCAGCTGCAAAGGAGATAAAAGGTCAAGCCAACACCATGTCTATTCGATTGCACTGAGGCTCGAGTGCAAAACGGTGGCATTTAAACCCTGAAAAAACATATATATCCCAACAACCTCTTGAAGCGGCAGGTGAAAAAGTTGGGAATAATACACATTGTCTAGCAGGACAATACCGAGGTCCCCGGCTTACCCCCGGAAAAAATGTTCAATCAGGAATACTTCTATGAGACGGTTCATGAAGAATCAAAAAGAATGAGCTTTATAACTCTTACTTTGTTGTTCACTTTATGCACAATCTGCACTTGAGATACAGTCCCCAAACCCAGCAAAATCGGAAGTCGGGAGCCCAACTGCGGAAAAGCAAACAATGTCATCCTGTTAGTATCCCAGAGCCTAGACCTCAGTTGCCTGTTATTTTTCCGGGATTTAAATAAATTAATAATCTTGAGGTAACGAGGACAAGATCTATGCTTTCAAGTGGACAAATGCCGAACCTGAATTTTTCATGTTTTTAGTGGTACAACATGTTGTTATTTTGTGGTAAAATTGTAAGCTGACTTTGGCATGAGTGTTTATTCCATTCAGAGTAATGTAAAAATAATGATGGTTATACTGTATGAAGAACTGCTTGGAAGTTAACTTTTGTATCACTTTTCCACGGCCTCCATTTTCATCTGGAAAACTTGGGCGACGTGCGTCTCCAGCAGGGAACACGCGGCCTGTTTGACTGACATCATCTGCAAAAACCGCACGCGCCTGTTTGACTGACATCATCTGCAAAAACCGCATGCCCAATCTGCACATAACGGCCGTGGCGAATCCTCATTAGGAATCACCCATTTCGCCGACCAATGGGAGCACCCCGCCGGCCAATGCCAGATGTGGACAAAGTGACCCATTGAGGAGGAAACCCAGGCTTTTCCTCCCCTCTCTGTATCCACACTCCTTCCCAGACATTCAAAGCCTGTTTGTTTGCTTGCCTGCCTCTGGCTGCCTATTCAGCTTCAGGAGTGGAAGACTTGTAAAGGCAAGGGAGACCGGCATCTTATCAGGCTGCTCCAGACCAAAGAGGCCAGTCATAGCCGCAATGGAAACACACAGGGCTTCCAGTAAGTGGCCTCGCCCTTAAAGCCCCCCTTCTTGCTCATCGTCAACTCCCCCAAAGTGCCCTCGTACTCATTAATATGTACAGCACTGTGAAGGCGTCCCCCCCCCACTAAATGAGGCTAACCCATATCTTAGCGTCAGATGCGCTGGACGTAATTTAATTTAAATTCAATACGTTCCGGTGCATTTAAACCGCACACACGCAAGGTACACAATGGAAACTGTACATTTCATAAGTTCTACAAACATATGAATAAACACGACTGCGTATGTGTTCGTTCACGAAAAACACATGCAAAAATAAAATGCAAAAAGATACAGGCGGTTAAATGGAATCATCTTAATGGTCGTACGTTATAGAATATTATGGCAAGGTCATTCAGCTCTATTCCCATACCCTCATCATTTCCTGAAATGGTAACAAGCATATATCCCTTCACGTTATTCTCTGTATACAAAAAAATGAAATACTGGATCTAAGGCTATTTTAAACGAATGTATAAACATTTAATCAACGATTTATATTTAAAGCACACGTTTGACTCAAAAAGGTCGTTGACTCCAGCCAAAAAAAATATATATTTCAGACGCAACGTTATTTCGATGTTGCGTTTATGAAACAGAGTATTTCATAAACTTTCACTCCCTGTTTGTTAGCTGTAATAATTTTAAAATGCGTTTTAAAATATATTTCAATATTTTCCACTTGTGCATAATTAAAAACTAAATGCGTATTTCACAATGTCCTCTTCTTAAAATTCAGCATCACGTTTAGAGGAGCAAATTGGCATCTTATTTTTTCTTAAATCTGGATTTTCTTGGCTCTTAAACCAAGTTAAAAAGGCAATAAAAAGTTATTAAAACAAAAATTACAATGATTTACAATGAAACAGAACCATCATCGAATACACGACATAAGTGAAACTAAACCCAGTTGTCCTTATTACCAGGATAATCGTTACATTACCATAGTATTCAGTATAGACGATCTGTAAACACAACCCCAGTCTGGTATTGTTAAAAGAACAGGACAATCAACACTTCACTCCTAAATAAATATTTGAGAAATAAAGGTATAAGCATACGAATAAACTGAGCTTATCTCCTGTAAAACTGTTAAATTGTAACTGCTCCGTCCATACGATCGGCTACTATGTATCTCTGTATATCTTGCTTGCTAGCTTTGAATTAGAATCACCAACCTTTAACATATAAGAACAAAATAGATTAGGCCTACCTGCTTGCGGTACGGCGTCCTCACAGGGTTTACAGTGCTCGCAAAAATCATTTTAAATTCAGGTTCCCGTCACAAGAAGTGTAAGGTTACCTCTACGAACCTATTTGTATCCAGGCGCTCGCTCGATTAAATTTCAAATTGGACTCTTGAGCGCATAAGACTTAAAAGCTACAGGCTCGGTCCCCCCGGTAAATCCCCTTCCGTTGCGGTGATTTGTAGGTATTGCGGTAATATAAACTGCGCCGAGGTGAGTTATCGATGCATCCAAGAAATCCGTCCCAACTCCGGTAGCCCAACTCCAGAATTTCGCCGAATTCATTGATCTGCAGTCAGTTCCCGCAGCACTGACCCTCCCACTGCGGAAGAAACCACTCGGCTATACGAGGCAGGGGGAAATTGAGAGACGAGACGAAATAAATACTTAAGCATAAATCACATTTCTTGTTAGAAGAAAAAAACGAAGTATATACACCTATTTCACATAAATTTTGGACTACCAAAATCGGTAAAACGGGTTTTATTTAAACATTTCCCAAATAGGGCATTCATTTTGGTACAATGTCCCCTATCGGGCAGAAGTTGTTTATTCTGGCATGCATACCGCACATTCCTTGGAGCAGCCACCAGATCCAAGTGGTAGGAAAAGCCCTGCGAGTTTTACGCAATTTATAGTTTCGTGGGACTTTGCAGGGAGGTGTGCCGTTCATCAATAATATAAGCCAAAGATATGAATTGGCCGTAATCCATGACCACACCCCTCTAGTGTTACATTAGTTAAATACCTAGGCTAAGTTACTCGGAGTATGACCCGCAGCGTTCACATTAGAGGAGCGCTGTCAGCAGGTGATTTACGCTGCACCCCGATTTGGTACTTTCTGCTCTGCCAACCGGCGTGCGATCTTTATTGCTGGCGACATTATGGCGACGCTGGGGCACCCTATGGCAGGGATAATTAGCCTATACAACAATATGAAATGCATGCTAGATTAGTTTGGCGGTAGTATTCATTCATGGTCTGCCCGCCCCCCTCCCCATCGCGTGAAATTGCTCTCGCCCATAGCCTAGGGGTTGTCCTAGTAGGTAGAAAGCACACTGCACAACAATTTTATATAAAAGTTTCAATGTGCTGCATATGTTACATAATCAGTCGATACACATATATACCATTCAACACACACACATCCATGAGGGCTAAAGTTATGCCCTGGTAAAAATGTAGAGAATGCAGCACCAAACAACAGTAAACAAATTCTTTATATTGCTAGCAGAATGCACCATTCATGGGGGTGGTGAAGAGGCAGCTCTGTTGCTGCTTCTGTAGGTCATCAAGCAGAGCATTGAACTCGCAACACAAAAGTTTGTGGGTTGGGATCCTGGGTGGGGAGGCCCACACAACCTGTCTGTGTCTGATTTCAGGCGCTGCATTTGAAGACGGAATGTGTTATGGTGGCGTCTCCTTTTTGAAGGCTCCTGGAAATGAATTATCCTTTTGCCGAGATCTCAAGATTCGTTGCATGAACCTTCAAAGGACGCAGCCTACAAAGGCTACATAGACCACATCCTTCGAAGGATGCAGCCCCTGAATTAAGACACAGCCATTGTAACCCTTCTCTCTTCTTTGGATCTGGATAAAAGCAGCAGGTAAATGTTGCATTGCACCTTCCTGTGTTGGGGGTTTGAATCACACCCCATATCTAAGTGCATAGAGCTTCCATACTCTTTCCATCTTCCTCCCATGGTGCAAATAATGCACTTATGTGACCTGCCATCTCCAAAGTGCCTGGAGCATGTGAGGTTATACCCCTGCCTTGTACCCTGTGACCAAGCCTACACTGGATTCTATAAAGACAACCTATTATTAATAACCAGAACTAAAACGGTATAGGGTGAACAAAGTAGGATTTATGCTGGATGTATCCAAATCTATAAAAGACTAATGTGAATGCTCTCCGTGTTTACGTGTTATGTTTACTGCCATCATGGGTCCATGCAGATGTTTGCCCTGTGGCCGTATGCAATAATCATTACAGCCTATTATAAATGCAACAGGAATTCACCCCGGTAAACATAATTACAGCTGTAGCCAAGAAACACAGAGGGTCATGCTTGAGGAACTCCGGAGTACAGCTTAACATCAGGAATCCGCTGAATGTGAAATAATTCTGTCAAAAAAACAGAACAAAACATACGTACAGTGACTTTTTCACTTTATGTCGGAGTTTAAGAAACTTAAATGAATTTAGTGTATATAATGGGGTTCAGAAAAAGAACTATTGGCTGATACAATTTAAGCGTACTTCAGTCTATCTGTCACAATCATATCGGTATCCAATGGAAATAAGTGAAATTAATATTCATAGCTCTGAGCCGACACTAAAAGATTATATCCATGGGAAGGATGAGACTTAAACCCCCCTGGAAAGTTAATGATGGATAGGAAAGAAAACCTGGTATGAAAATTACTGCCAGTTCATGCGAGGAGCTCGAATTTCACTTTCTGTCATGTCAGGA